TATATATATTTAATAATAAATAAATAAATAATAAAAATAACTCCACAGAGGCACTACTACTCTGTTTTATAATACAGGTAGACTACAGACCTGGGAAGCCCAGTGCTGAACAATAGTGTGTATTTCAAATTTAGATATCCATGGATCAACCCCAGATATCTGTGAGATCCACATTTCTTTTTGGTTGATTTCTTTCCTCTTTAGACGTAAATCTCTCTAACACCTCCCTCTAAAGAAAAGTATGATCAGATTCATATACTATTGTAGTACCATAGGTGGCATTTCCAATAGACTATTTCCTTCAATGGATAAACTTGTCATTTTTTTTCTAACAGTTTTGATTTATGCAAAATTTAAGAAGTACAAACCTTGCCACAATAATATAACATCTCTTATATTGAATGTAGATCAGTATTGCAATTTAAAGGGAAGACGCCTCCAGTCCGTAACCTTCCAGTTTGTAACATGAATGTACAACATCACTCAGAATAATAGCATAGGCTAGTATTTTACCCAAGAAAACATACCTTGGCAAAACAGAACCAATAACTTCTTTGGGGACTTTCTAACCATAAGATGAATTTATGTGTTGGGTATCTTCAAACAGAGGCTAAGTAGGTGTTCGTTGTAGATGCTCTAAGCTGGACACCTTTATGTAGTAGAGGGTTAGACCTGATGGCCTAAAGCAGGGTTCCTCAACCTTGGCAACTTTAAGACAGGTGGACTTCAACTCCCAGAATCTCCCAGCCAGGGAATTCTGGGAGTTGAAGTCCACCCGTCTTAAAATTGCCAAGGTTGAGGAACCCTGGCCTAAAGGATCCATTCTAATTTTCTTTTATTAAAATTTTACATAGATAATAGCTAGTTAATCAAATACTAAAAAAAGATATACAAACAAAAAAGAAAAAAGAGAGAAAAGAAAAAGACATATAAAAGATGATTTTCCCCTCCCTCCAAACAAGTATAAACATTTACAGTAACCTAAGGCCTTCTTTATTATTACAAAAAAACTCTTCTTCCCATTTGTAATCCCTTAATAGTAGCCAAATTATATATTAAAAAATCATCAATTAATCTTACACAGCAAAAGCAGTAAGCGTACCAGTAATAATAACTCATGTATTTTAACCTTAAACAAATAAATCCATTATGCATTTGAACTATAACTTTCTCTAATAAATAAAACATTTATCCCCATAGGCATAAAAATACCAACAACAATCTCAGACTAAATCTAATAGGTCCCTTGTACTTTCAAACCTATAACTTTCTCTAACAAATAGAACATAGAAAATGTATCCCCATATGAAAATATCTTTAAATCCTCATCATACAATCCTGGTCATAAAAAAATATTCTGATAGTAACAACCCAGAATCACAACTTATACAATTTAACCCTGATCAAATAAGTCCACTTCAAATCCCTTTCTCTTCTTTTTAAGAGACTTGATCTTCAGTTGCTTCTTCAAATAAAGTCCCACATAATACTCTCTTACTGTTTTCTCCCTGTCTGCTTCCATAGTTCCCTTCTGTGGATCCATTCTAATTTTCTGGTTTTTGTGATTCTGCAGAAGGGAAACTTTGGAGGAAGCAGATGAGCTCTGGGGAAGGTATTTAGGGTGCCATTCTGCACACACACACACACTCTCATTGTCATTCTTCAAATTGCTCTCCTTGCTCATATTTTTAGATTCTAAATATGCCTGATATATCATTGTGGATTCATTCTGGCCTAATTTTTTTTTAAACGATTCAAGGTCACTCTTTTGAAAACTCTGACAAAGGAGAAGTACACATTCAGCTGTAGCCGCTGGCTAGATATCAACGAGGATGACAATGAGATTGTACGGGAGCTGGCAGCAGAAGGACCTTTGGTGGCTGAAGTAATCCCAGGTGAGAAGAAAGAGGGAGGGAGGAGAAGCCATGAACCTACTTGGTTTAAGCAATACTAAAGGTTCCTGCTCTGACTTGGCACCCTGCCAATGAGTTGAAACTGTAGTTCCCCAAATTCCTTAGTCAGCATGGCTAGCATGTTGGTTGGGAATTCGTAGAGCTGCAGTCCTGTAACACCTACAGGGCACCGCACTAGGGAAGGCTAATTTAGAGAGAATGAGATCTTGTTGACATATTTTCTTCTCCCTCTGAAATTGGGAGGATGTTGCCTGCTGTGTTTGCAATTATTATTAGTTGGATAACTTCTTGTGAATTTCCATCTTCCTTTTTAAAAATGTAATAATTCAGTACTTTCAGGTGACACTCTCCTTATTTGTTGTGGATCATGAGGATCCATTAAGATAATTAAGGATCAAATTGACATTTGGATAGCATTTACTTACTAATTTAATTTAATTTAATTTAATTTAATTTAATTTAATTTAATTTAATTTAATTTAATTTAATTTAATTTAATTTATTATTTATGCCTTAAACCTATTGTACTACTGACTACCAAAGTCCCAATAGAAGAGAACATATGTAGCTCAGGATTAAACTGTGGAGTCCTTGGTGCTCTCTGAGCTAGGTTATTTGCTTGCAGACCTTTCATTACCTGACTAGGTAACATCATCAGTGCCTATCAGTGCCCAGAGACTACCAAAGTCTCTGCAGCTTGTTCATGGAAGAAGGGATATCAAAGTAAAACATCATTTGACAAATATTTTCTTGTAGTTTATTCACCATGTCATTTTTAAAAAAATAATCTTAACCTGACATTGAAATGGGCACACTTCTTTAGCCTTTTTCTCAAGAGGTTTATTAAGCCAACATCCTGTTGAAATAGCAGAAGACAGCCCACATTTCATCCATTCAGAAAGAAGAAGAAATCTCTCAATATTTTTCTAACAATGACATCTAAGTAGCCCCCTTTTCAACAATTAGAGCTCCTACCTAAACTTCTGAGATGTCACAAGGCTCATATGGGATTTTACTTCTGGACTAGAAGATTAGATTGTCTTCTTTGGTCAAGTTCTTTGGACATCATGGACAGAGCAAGGCTCACCCAAAGCTGACAGGCTCAGTCTGTCTGGAGTGCTTTATCTGCAGTTGAAAGTAGAAGGTTGGTTGATGTTTACCCCAGCTGTCCCTGGCAGCACCAATCTGCCCATTGATCTGTATGCAGACAGGAGCTTTCCTAAGACGTTGTTGGAATGATTACAATTGCAAATGTTATGATTAAAGTGTCAACCAGCCTTTGATGAAGGTTATTTTTAATCCACTGTGTGAAGTGGCTGACTGTGAGGACCAATGCACGTTCCCTGGTTGGGTGCTGCTTGCCAACTGCATGAGGCATTGCCCATAAAGTGGAAGTTTTATTTCTGTTTTTAAGACAGCAGCTGGGTAGCTCCATACAGGTGGACGCTGGCTAGTTAACCACTGAAGTTTGTAAAGCAGGAGACAGTGGTTTCAACAATGAATGGATGTTTCTTTCTGTTTGGCACAAATTTTCCTGTATCTTTCCTTGCCACCCAGAGCTTTAGTTAAGAACAAGAGAGCCCAAAGTCCAGCATTAGCGTTGGAATAGATTTTCCACTTCACTTGAGTTTGCAAACCTCTTTCAGTTCCTGCTTTAAAATATTGAAAATGTGGCTTATGACTATTAGCATTCATGCAAATGAAACTGTGCTTAAAGGGATAACAGATTTCCCCAACCTGCCACTCTTCAGGTGAATATTTTTCAGGTGTATTAGACAGCAAATCCAATCATCCGTAACACAGGACTGCCTTTAGTTGTGTAAGTCAGGATGACGTCTGGGTGGGTCTTAGAATAGGGCTGGGGAGATGTGACCACCTTTAGCCATGGAAACTCACTGGAAACATGGGGCTGGTCGCTGTCAGATAGATCTATCCATCTCTATTATGGGGGGAAATTGGAGACTGACATATGAGAAGGAGAAAAGGAATTTACTCTGGAGAGGTAGAGAGAGCAAAGTTGCATGCAATCTCAAGCTTAGCTACTGAACATGTTTGGGCTTAATAGTAATTTCATTTGCTTTCTCCCCACCTGTGCCAGTTTGAAAATTAAAGGAGATACTACAATGGGTAGAGGTGTAGGGAAGGGACAGCTTTAAGTCCCAGTGCCTTGTATGTTGGCTATTTGAGTAGGATCCATATTTTAGCATCTGTAGAGTTGATGCACCCATGGGTGTCCACAGGAGGAATAAGGGAGGCATCATTTGCACTATGAGATCATGACATCATCATGGCTTGTACCAGATACTTATGGATGTACCAGGTGGGATTGTGGTACTGGGTGCTAGCACTGATTTCACCCAAATCCTAAGGGAGAACTTTTAGCAACACATATTAATCATTTTGAAGGAAATATCAACATGATACTGATAGAAAAACACAAGCTTACACATCTTCAACAGGAGTCTTTCCTCCCCACATCACAGAATAGTTTTCACCTATTCCTGCAAAATGCAGAGATCTACTGTGGTATGAGATATTTAGCCTAGAACAATTTTGAGGGCAAAAAAAAAAAGAAAAAGAAAAATCCTGAATAGGAGAGTATGCGTTAGTCCTTTGAGGTAGACCAGGTCAGGAAATAGACACCCCATGAAATACTAGAGCTGCTGTATTGATATAGCTATACTAACAGAATCTCGAAAGCCTGACCGTTTTCCCCCTTCCCTCTCTCTAATACCCAAAAGAGTCAAAGTGGAGCAATCTTGAGTTTCTTCTTCACCCCATCATGTCTTTCTGGGCTAAATTCATGTTTTCCCAATGGCTATCGCTGTACCCCTACACCAGTGTTTCTCAACTTCAGCAACTTTAAGATGTATGGACTTCAACTCTCAGAATTCCTCAGCCAGCCATGCTGCTGTTTTGGTAGTTTCCTGCCCCACCCTGCAACCCAGATGCTTAATGTTTTTGTCTTTGCTGTATGATCTCAACCAATCAGGGATGATGTATTCATGAAGCCAACCGGATTTGCCTATGGGTGAGAACAAACTGTCAGACAGGATTGCAGATTAGGATACTCATAAGAATATGCATTCTACGTGTACTAAAATATATTGCATGTAGAATGTGACCCAATAATTCCTCCTTGTATATTAGAGCATTTCCACTGGAGTTATATAGCATGGGAAGAGAGAAACTCTTGATTGATACTGAAGCTCAAGCTCAGATACTTTGGCCACCTAATGTGAAGAGAGGACTCTTTGGAAAAGACCCTGATG